TAAAAGTATCTAAATGAGGTAATGCAAATTCAATCAATTGTTGCCAACGATTACCATCAATCATATGGTTATTGTTATACGCAAGTATTGTTAAACTTTCTAAATTTGGTGTTGATGCCAAGAGATTTTCTAGAATCTCAAATTCAAAAGTGAAGTCATAAATAATCAAACGTTTCAAATGCATAGCAACATGCTCGTCTGCTTCCGAACTAAAAGCGGAATGGATTTTTTTGGTACACAGACACTTTAATTGAGGTAGATATTTGAAAATTTGATACAATTGTCGCAATGAACACGTAGATATCGTTAAACTAACAATTGATGTAAATTGTTCAATAAGAATCGAACCGAATTCTATTGTGGGCATTGATAACGATTGTATAGTAGACATTGGTATTGCTTCGAATAGCAGATCAGCACTATCTGAGGAAGCCGTAAAATTAAAGTGACGCAGATTCAATAAGTGAGGTAATGTCCATATCAATCCCCATATGCTATTTCGATCAATTCCATCCAAACTAAGTGCTTGAAGATTAGAAAATTGGTCGAGTGAAATATATGAAAAAAATGTTGACAATTGCTTATAACCATATCCATTTGATAGACGTAATGAACAAATTTGACTTTTGATTTCTGAATCTAATGCTATTTTTTGACATAATTGATGAAACATCGATTTTTTCACATATTCAAAATCGAGGCATAATAGAATATTCCGAATAAGTTTATTATATCGATTATTTAAAAAATCAAATGAGTTTAAAATATCAATTCCATCGAGATATTCGAAACATTCTATAAGCACCTCATTTGGTAACGATTCGAATTGTGTTATTACCGTCATTTCATCATTATGAAGAAAATATGTGCATCAAAACTTCTGTGTTGCTTGTTCTGTGCAAGGAAATAATCATTTTTTTTCTAATGTTGTTTATATACCTATATTAAAATTACTCAGTAATATGGTTGGAAGAAAAAACGCTTGCCCCTTTGCCAACAACGAATGACTCATATAAATTTTCTTTCCTCCTCTCAACAGATTCGAATATCTTCATTAGCAACAAAAACTACCAATCGTCATATGAATCATGTATTATATCACATACTTCCGAATTTTATGATTAACTTATATTTTATAGATCGTAATACAACTCGACAGAAGTTATAATACACAGCATAATGTTAAGAACTATCATTTGCCAAAACATAATACATGTGCTGAATGGGCATAGTACTTATGATAGATGTTGCTATTATACGATTTCTTGATAATTGAAAAGTTCCTGCTTTTCGTAAAAGTCTAGAGAAGAAAATGGATGTAAGTGCAGATATTTGTAGATATACATATGCATGTATTCTTCAAACACATCTGCATTTCTCTATAGTAATTATATAGGTTATAGCAATATTGAACTTCTTTCTTTCGTTTTTTTTTCTGATGCATCATAAAATGGTTGAAACTATCCCAGACTGCATTTATATTCTATAGTTTTTCCTGGTTTTTATAAAACAGAATCATCTTATTTTTTGATTAAAATCAGAATGTCTTCTGTAAAAATTTTGGCCATCATTTCCAGTATCTCAGACACACAAAAATATTCAATGACTCGACCAATCTTAGTTTTTTTTTCTTATTTTGCTCTAAATGTAACACTTGGAAGTGCTTATACGATACTGTAAGAAATTAAGGTATTTAAACACTGAATATCAACATGGAAGCGATGAGTTTTATCACCGCCACTAAAATCATTATATCGAGTATTAGCTCAGCTACTATGGGTGTCGAAAGAGTAAATACAAAAAAAGAAAAGGAAAGGAAGAAGAGAAAAAAGGAAGAATGAAACGAACAGACAACGTAAAAAAAGAACGAATACATCGAAAAGAAAGTGGAGGAAAAGAGGAGCGAGAAGAGAAGAGAGAACGAAAGCAAGGAAGTACGTTTGCCTTTCAAGGCCAGAAAAAAGGAGAAAAAGCGGAAAAAAAGAACAAGACGGAAAGAAAGAAAGGGAGAGAGGGTGTGGATGTGGATGGGTGTTTCATTTCTCTTCTACCCACACCCACATCCACACCCAAATACCCTTTCATACACCCTTAGGAAGGGTATATGGAAGGGTTTATTAAAAGGAGGGGGGCCAATAAGAGGCAAAATCGGCCTCCTGTCGGAATTCGACTTTGTCCTTCCAATTTTATTATTTTCGCTGTCAGAAGTTTATTTCTACCGAAATCAGGCAATTTAATGCATTCCACATTGCGCGCAACTCAATTTAGTTACCCCTATTATCTCTATGTTATATGACTACGGTAGATGTTAGTCTAGTGGTTATTTCTTTACTAGCTCATTCTTATGTTTAGTCGATTTATATATCAAACCGAAGCTCTTTTATTTCTCTATCGAATGACATATAAATATATGAGAGACAATAGTTCAATTGCCTTCTTTCATATCAAAACGTCATACTACTATATGATATATATGTATGCTTTAATGATAGTAGACAACTTTTTATTATTTAAAACATATAGATCCACTCTGGATTATATTCTAATCAATAGATCTAATCGAGATCTATTAAATAATGATAAAATATCAAGAAAAAAAGGTGGCCCGGTAAGTCAAAGTTTTGAAATAATAATAAAAACAGCATGTATTATATGATATATATGTATGTTTTAATAATAGTAGTTAAGTTTTTATTGTCTGAAACATGTAGATCCACTCTGGATTATGTTCTAATCAATAGATCTAATCGAGATCTATTAAATGATGATAAAATATCAAGTGAAAAAAGTGGCCCGGTAAGTCTAATTGTCGACGAATTTAGAACATAGTCATACCATGAACGTTAACAGTTCCACTGGAACCGTTCTCGTATTATGTTATTTTCAATATATCTGCATCATAGTATAATACTGCAATTAGAAGCTAAAAGATTTATGTTTAATCTAGTTCTTTTAGCAGATTTAAAAAACTTTATTGATGTAAGATGTACGAAAGAACGTGTGCTTGATAATGAACATTCAAAATAATTAATCATTTGGCGACACTTATGATAATGAATAACGAGAATTATCATCATCGTCACCATCAGAAGAGTCATAACAATCTGATACTTGTATAGCATCTGTTGCCAAGTTCATGTAGCTCCCGGATGGCATGTGATGCTTTTGCGTCTGCCACCGTTCACAACCGAGGAACCATATAGCTGATGAAATGTGACTGCAGCAGCCTAGAAATCGAGCACCAGTAAAACAATCGCACCACCATCCGAGAATTTGTTCATTTGTAAATTGTATTGTAGGATGGTAAATTATTCGATTACTGTGTGCAGATTGAGTTGGAACACGTATTAAGTTTGAAATACTTTTACATCGTTGTACGGTATAGTCTACTATGCCAGTTAGATCCGTAGTAGAACACTTTTCTTCAGCGTACGAACGGGCACGCTTTAATTGAAAGACACCTACAGAAAGATACATTCGTGAATAAAATTCAAAACTAAACTTAGTACCGAAAGTTAAGTCTCCTACATCTTCTTCTGACATAATCGGCAAGCAATCCATAATTTCATCATGATTAATTGTCTCCCATTGTGAAGTTCGTTTAATGAGATCGTTTTCTTCGAGAAGCTAAATAGTAATATGAAACAGGTTATACAACAAGTTACTATTACAGTTATTTACCAGCTGAATTTTATTTTTTTGATGAAGTAATTTCATAATTTTTTGACCAACTTCTGAATCTTCTGGTTTTGATGTTGCCATTGGTGTTTGATAGTGATTGATAAGAGCACATATAATTGAGAGATCGCTTTCTAAGTAAATTAATGACGAATTTTGGATGGTATTGGCAAAGTATTTAAATTGTTTAATACGACGATTTGCCGCCTCCACAACCCACCGCATCTTTGTAATGCATCTAGATTGATTCGCTTCTTCGGCTGAAAATTGTTTTTTACCATCGAGAAATGGTGGCATTGCAACATCCAGACCGAGAGCTTGCATAACAGAAATAGAATCTCTGAAGCCTCTATCAACTACAAGGATATCATGCTAAAGAAAAATAGTATGTATTGACGTTTCTGGAAACAAAAGAATATTACTTCTTTAAGCCAATTGAGTATGTTGTCGGTATTTCGAAGTAAAATATCTTTCATTATGGAGGCGTCGTTGTTGTTAAAATCCGAAAAAAAAGGTCCAATACATGCAACTATATAACCAGTTGTTGTTACGATCATCATCGGCTTTAATAAAGATCTTTTTTTATATAAATTAAACGTTTTTCGTTGAAATTGGTTATTTCGAGATTTCTAAAAGATAATATTGGAGAAATCTGACCCAGTACAATGAAAAATTTTCTCACCTGGATGTAAATATAAGTACCATCAATGACAAAAAATTTTAAAGATTTCTCAGCGGCCGTCCCGCCACGACATAAATATATATATTAGATTTTCGAATATTTTGAACACTCAGAATTAGTTTTCAGATTTCTTCTAATCTAGTTTCTAATTAAACCACTCTGTATTATAATTTCTTTCTTTTCTATTCCGAAATTCTTCGAAACTAAAAATTTTTTTTAAAGATCATAAGAAAATTTCGACCACCACCGCCGACTAAAGCATCTGCTTACACTTCTAATCCTACGACTCAACAATCAGTTCAACGAGAAATTCAAATAAATATTCTTGATAAAAACGATCATTATCCCATATTTGATAATTCATATGAACAATATATTTATATGTCAACATATGATAATAATAAAATATTCATACAACTGATGATGATGCAGATTTAGATGGTCTTGTTAATTTTTTTTTTACAAATAAGGATCATTATGAATATTTTCATTTATATTTCAATGGTTCTATTATTTTATATAATCTAAATGATATTTATTTACCAATTCGTCTCGAAATCTATGCACATGATCAAGATTATTCAACATCATTAACTTCTAAAGGAAATATTGTTATTTATATATTGGGATATATTCAAACGAAATAAATGTCCATCAAATGAATTATCGAGTAAATTACGAAAAAAAATTTTTTCTTGATTCAATATTTATAATGATATCAATTGTTTTATTTTTATTTATTATATCAAAATTAGCTGATGACAATTTATACTTTAGAAAAATACACCAAACAAATAAATATAAATGAAAAAATAAAAGCTACAAACGTTTTATTTTAACATTAATACAATAATTATAAATGTTCAATTATCTTCGTAACAACTGCAGTAAACTTCTTCTTCTTCTTCTCGAACTTTTGGAACATGTTTTGGTTGACCAATAATCATACGTGTACGTATAACTTTTGCTCTACAATATTCTGTAGATGATCTATCATATTGTCGTAACTTAAGTGGTGAACAATTCATTTGGTGATGATTATATAATGAAGATCCATTTGATAAATTTCGACGACGACGAATATTATTAGAACCATTTGAACGATTTCCTAAATTCTGCAATAGAAACATTAAAAAACTTGAACTTTATACGATCAATACTTACTTTATTAATTTTTAAATTATTATCTGATGAAGATCCATTTGATGAACGTCGATGCCGACGAAGGGTGTGGGTGTGGGATGTGGGTGGGTGGGTGTGGATGTGGGTATGGGATGAAAATTCCTTAATTCACACTCACACCCACATTCACACCACCCACACCCACACCCCAACCATATGAACGATTTATTACATTCTGCAATAGAAACACTAAGAAATTTGAATTTTATATGATCAATATTTACTTTAATCATTTTCAAACTATTATCTGATGAAGATCGATTTGATGAACTTCGACGCTGACAAATATTTTTAGAACCATTTGAACGATTTCGTACATTCTGCAATAGAAACATAAAAAAATGTGAATTTTATATGATCAATACTTACTTTATTAATTTTTAAATTATTATTATTTGTTTTTATATAATCATTGGTTTTTGAAAAACAGGTAAACATCGAATTTTTAGGCATTTTCATATTAGTCTACAATAAACAAAATAGTAAATAGTCGTCGGCTAAGAATAACGCTTAGTGAAATAACAATATGAATACGTCTTATGACTGAAGAAAAATCATTAAACATGTGCATTATTCGTTTTTTTCTCGCTCGTTCTTTCGTTCGTTCAGCTGATTTATTTATCAGACAGTACTATGAAATATATAATATATTGAC